AAAGAGGACCAATGGTTCCCCTCAGAATGAAAAATGTCTGCAACGAATCCACCAGCCCTCACAAAGGCCCACTGGCATGACTGAGAGTGTCCTTGGGACCTCAGGCTTTTTATCCTTTCAGAACAGCTTTGTGCTCAATTGGCAACCCTGCTCACTTCATCAATTTGTTGAGAGGAAGGAAAAAGAATACAGGTGCAATAAGAGAGGACTGGTAAAATTATAAATATAAATATACATCTGTCACATGGCAAAAAATATAGCTAGCTAGCCCTGGCTGGGTGGCTCGACTGGTTGGAGTGCCATCCCATACACCAGAAAGGTGGCGGGTTTGATTCCCGGTCAGGGCACACACCTAGGTTGCAGGTTTGATCCCCAGTTCAGGCACATGTAGGAAACAAAGGATCGATGTTTCTCCCTTTCTCTCTCTCTAAGAATCAGTAAAAACATATCCTCAGGTGAGGATTTAAAATATAGATGGTAGATAAAAGCAAGACAACTGGCAAATTCTTAAAAACTGAGAGAAAAATACATCAAAACCCAGATGGAAAAAAAAAATGGACAATCACAAAAAATAATTTAATAGTCTATAAATATATGAAAAGAAATCTAATTATCATTCATATTTTGAAAGTGTAAATTAAAACTACAATGAAAGTGAAATTGGTGGAGTAGGGACCTCCAAAATTTTTCTCCTCCATATGAGAAATGAGAATACTGGCAAAATTGTTAGAATCTTTTTTAGAACTCAGGAAATTAATCAAAGGCTCACAGCAATCGAGGGAGCATTTATTTGTGAATATTTCTCTCTTTTCCGCATCCAGCATGGCTAGAGAGCAATCCGGTTCCTGAGTAGGGGCTGCTGGGGATTGTGAAAATGAAAGAGACAGACACAGAGTTGGAAGGGAAAAGCTGGGCCCGGGTGGGACCACTGTCCTCTGATGGAGAGACAGGGACAGGGACCCAGCGCCAATACAGTGTGTTATTTTATACAGCAAAAGACAGGAAGTTTTACCAAAAGTCAAGACAAAGGAGATTATGTGCATTCTTGGGTGGGCCTGAGTCATATTCATTCCTGGTGCTTGGCTGGATTTAAATAACAAAACCCACCCCCTGGCACCTGGGCTGAAGGTCAAGCTGACAACACTCACGCCTTTTGGCAAAGCGTGTTTCCAGGACATGGCTTTGCCAATACTACTGGATTCGGCTGACAATAAAGAAATGCCCATGTGCCTTCTCAGGCACTCTCTGCATTTATTCAAGAAAAGTGTTTGAATATCATCAAGAACAATGAGTTTTATATTTCATCTTGTCCTATTCCCATCTACTCTAGCTCCATAGTAGCTTCGGAAACCACCAGTCTGCAGTCACAGCGAAACTAGCAGACCAGCAGCTACTGGATGCAGAGCAGGATTGGAGTTCCTTTAATGCTCCATTTCCAGAAACAGAGCATGAAAATCTGAGTTCAGGAGACAGAGACAGAAGTTGAGAAGACTAAGGTGGCTAGAATTTATGAGGCAGAACACTTGAAGGGATAGAGTTTTGCAAAGAGAGTACACTCAAGATCTTGAGAGGTCTCCTTGTGAGTCTGTGAGTCCTGACAAAGCCTGAGAATTACCCAAGACCAAAAGAAAGATCACTGAAAAGAAGTAGACAGTACAATTTCTGGAGCTCACACAGGACTGGGAGAAGTTTGTTTCCACTAGCCAGAATGTAAATATACAGATCAGGCAGAAATCCTCAGGGTTTTACCTTAGTAGTGGGGTTAAATTAGCCCTAGAAAAAAAGGTTTGGGGCCTGTCCTAAAAATAAATAAATAAATAAATAAATAATTTAAAAAAACGCTTAAAAGTAAGGCGAATATAAATAAAAATGTCCTAAGGGAAAAAAAGTAAGCCTCAAAGTGATCCGACAAACTCTTAAGAAAAGGCATGCCAGAAGTAAAAGCCAACACTATTTAAAGGAATAAAACAAAACCCTTGCCCTAGCCAGTTTGGCTCAGTGGATAGAGTGTCAGCCTGGGAACTGAAGTGTCCCAGGTTCGATTCCGGTCAAGGGCACATGCCCGGATTGTGGGCTCGATCCCCAGTAAGGGACTTGCAGAAGGCAGCCGATCCATGATTCTCTCTCATCATGGATGTTTCTATCTCTCTCTCCCTCTTCCTTCCTCTCTGAAATCAATAAAAAATATATTTTAAAAAAACCCAAACAAAAAAAAACAACCAACAACCAACAATGCAAATTCACAATTGTCTGGCATCCAGCAAAAATGTATCTACCATTCAAAGAACCAGGAAAATAAGGACAATTACCAGGATAAAAATCAATCAACTGATACAGACCCAGAAATGACAAACATGACTTAGCATCTGGGGGCATTAAAATAGCTATTGTAATGTTATGTTTCATATGTTCAAGAATATAGAGGAAAGTATGACCCTGATAAGGATAGAACTGGAAAATATAAAAAGGTCCAGACCTTTTGCTAGAGATAAAAAATACAGTATCTGAAATGAAAAACACAAGCATTGGAACTGATAAGATACTGCAGAAGAAAAGACCAGTTAGCTTACAGATAGCTAGAATGAAACAAAAAAAGAAAAAAGACTGAAAAGTTGGACAGAGCATCAGTAACCTGTGGAACAATGTCAAGCAGTCTATTATATGAACGGACTATGTATCAGGAAAAAGGGAGGGACAAAAAACAACTACTGACAAAACAAAGGCCAAACGTTTTACAAATTTTATTAAGACTCTAAGCCTTTGGATTGAAGATCAATGAACCCCAAACAGAATAAACATAAAGTTCAAACCACATTAAACTAATCACTATATTGTTTAAGAATAGATACATATATGGTAAAAGCAAAAACAAACATATGTAATACTTTCAACAATAAAGATAAAAACCCAGGAGTCATCCTTGACCATACCCTCAACCAAATCCCATAATCACTCCTGAATCTTTCTAAACTTCTACTTCCACACCCTCATCCAGGCCTCCTTCAACTGTCACCTGGAGCACTGAAACCCTTCCTTTCCCTTAAGGCAGTCAAAGAAACCATTTTTTATTTATTTTTTAATTAAATCTTTATTGTTCAGATTATTACAGTTGTTCCTCTTTTTTCCCCCCATAGCTCTCCTCCACCCAGTTCCCACCCCACCCTCAGCCCTCACTCCTCACCCACTGTCCTCATCCATAGGTGCATGATTTTTGTCCAGTCTCTTCCCGAATCTCCCACCCCCCTTTTCCCCCCAAGAATAGTCAGTCCATTCCCTTTCTATGTCCTTGATTCTATTATGATCACCAGATTATTTATTCACTTGATTCTTAGATTCCCAGTCCTTGTGGCCAGTAATTGGGTCACAAATGAGCACCCTCTTGTCCCTACTTAAAAAAAAAACATCATATCCACTTGGAATTTGGGTGGAGGACACCTGGAGGCCAGGCCCAGGTACACTGGGGCCGTAAGAACAGACCAAGGTGGCCATGCAGAATAGAGTTAAGGTGGGGGGAGAGGGCAGGCATAGCTAAGGCTCGGGACTTCCCCAGCTGCCCAGAGTAAGTTCGAGCACGCAGAGATTCAGCTCTTCGCCTTGGCAGCACTTTCAGAATTGTTGTCTGTTATCTTTCTGCCCTACAGCAGGCACCATCATGTTCTGAGTTCTTAGTGTCCAGCACTAAGCGTGACCAGGGTAGACATCCAGGATATGGCAAGTCTGGATAAGCCCCATGAGCTCTTCAGGTCTGGCCCTGGCACCTCCTCGAGAAGTCTTCCTCCCTGAAACACTGTTGTTTCCATGCCATCCACCATGAGTCCCCACAGCTCTGAATTGCAGACTTAAAAATAGTTGCTGAGCCTGGCCAGTGTGGCTCAGTGGGCCGAGCATGGTCCTGTGGGTTCACCATTCCATTGTCAGGGCACATATGCCTTTCCGACCTTCCCTTTAGGTGCTCCTCCTCTCCATGGTCACTGCACCTACCTAGGTGGACCTCTCAGCCCCTAGACCAAATGGTTCCTGGACTAAAGGAACCAGTCCTGATCCATCTCACTGTGGCATCACCTAGCAGGGCTTGGCATCCGACTAAGCACAGGCAACATCCATCGCAGGCATCATGGTTAAGAGGAGTACCTCTGGAGTAGACAGATCCTGGTTGGGATCCCAGCTCTGTCACTTGAGAGCTCACTTGAGACCTTGGGTAAATTCCTCTCAGTTACTTTGCTGGTCAGAAAAGTGGGTGGCTGAGAAGTCCAGAAATGAGGTTCGAACTACCTGATTGTCAGGATAGCCATTATACACTCAACCCAGGGGGAGGAGCAGCTCTGTAAGGAGGAGGCGAAGTTACAGTGGGTGTGGTCTTCTCTGCACCTATCTAATGTCCTCTACCCCCAAATCACCTAGAAAAGAGCCTAAAACAAGAATGAAGTACTAATACTTTATTTGGATGGTGTACACCCAAGGCACTGAGAGGGAGAAAAGCAAGGCGGGGGAGAAGGGAGGCAAGGCAAGGCGCCAGCGGGTGGGTCCTGCTTCAGCACAAGCCCTGAAGCACAGCGGGTGTGCTCACCGGCTGCCTGGGACATCTCCCCACTGGCTGGACTGTTCGGAGAAACAGTGTCTTGCAGCAATTCGGGGAAGGGAGGAAAGAAGAGGGAATTTCTCTGCCTTGGTCTCTCCCAACTCCCATTAGTCAAATGTTACCCAAGAGAAGGATTAACTCCCCCAGGCTTCTGTGCCCTGTGGTGGGGTATTCCATCCAAGTCTGGAGGTAGTGGGAGAAGACAAACTCTGGGCATGTGGCTGGTGAGCTCTGGACAGAATCTGAGTCAAGACATAAGATGTGTCCCAAACGGTCCACTAGTATTTTTTTCACTTACTAGAAGACCTTGGCCAAGGTCTCATGGCTAGTAAGCGGCATATTCAGGATTTGAACATAGCCTGGCTCTGGAAACTGTGGAAGACCAAGATAAGAACCTTGTTGTTTTTTTTATAGCAGGCAAAGGAGAGTCATTGAAGAGTTTCAAGTTGGGGAGTGACATAAAGAGCTTTTTAATAAAGCTCCCAATCTCTATTTTACTTCATCTTTCCATGTAGCTAAGCTCAGCAACAGTAGGTGGCCCCCAAGAGGTAAGAGCATCCAAGACAGTTTTTGAAGAGTCCCTCATGGGGTCCAGCTCATATGGGCTTCACTCAACACTGCCTCACAATCTTTCTCAGTCTGCAAATAAGCCTGTACCTACTAAGAAGATTAGCTGGTCAGAGGGAAGCAGGATCTGAGTGGAGAAGCCAAAATGAAGGGAAGAGGAGGTTGACCTAAAGATCAGGAGCAGGAGGACCAGCTCTCTCTTCATCGTTGGCCTGTGGATTGGGGGATCCTGGCACCCGCAGGTGAGTCCTTTGGTGTTGCTTGAGATGGTCAGATCTCATGAACTCTCGGCCGCACCGATCACATCTGTGTGGCCGGTATCTGGTGTGTATCCGCATATGTCGTCCAAGCTCATCGGAACGGAAGAAAGACCACGTACAACCTTCCCACTGACATTTATAGGGCCTCTCACCTGGGAAGGGAAAGTGACAAGGGAGAGAAGGAATTAAGTAGAGGAATTTAGGCCAGCAGGTGGGAAGGAAGGGGTCTGACTCTATGAGGCAGAGCATTCATGGTTGAGGACTCAATAGGAAAAAACAGGAAAACAGTGAAGAGGCAACACGATCAGCAGTCCCCATCATCTTGATACAGTCATACTGGACTGTGGGAAAGCAAGTTGGTGAGGACAGTATAGCTTGGTCCCAAAAGTGAAGGATGACAGGCTAATCACCAACCATTACAAACCAGTGGTCCAGCAAAGCCCAGAGACTCCTCCCTCCCACCCCACCTGTCTGACACCTCACTCACCCGTGTGTTTGCGTTGGTGACTCAGGAGGTGGGAGCGCTTGGTGTAAGCTTTCCCACAGTTCTCATACTGGCAGCAGTAAGGCCTTGCAACCTGGGATCTGCTCCTGTAAGCCCTTTCTGAGGCCCCACAATTCTGCTCTGCTCTTTGTGGCACAGGTATAGGCTGCTCGGGTAGGAAGGGGCCTTCCTGGGAGGCTGGCTGGCTAACAAAAGAGTCCTGGGATTCTAAAGTCAGCAATGACGGGGAGCCATCTGGGGGCATTCCACCATTGTGGGGATCTCTAGGGGGTAACATCTGAGCCAAAGAGGGGAACCCAGCCTGGCCCCCAGCAGAAGGCATAGTGGCAGGCAATAACATTTTAGGTGTTAAAGAGTCGCTATTAGAAAGTACTGTAGGGTGGTCAGAATAATGCATTGTTGGTGTCCTGATGTGGGGCATTGCGACTGGTGGCCCATTGGGGGGCATGCTCAGATTCCCACTGAAGTTCATGGCCATCCCTGGAATATTGGGCTCTCCAAAGGACATCATCTGGGACCTGTTGAAAATCATCATTCCTGGTTGATAGGGAGACATTGTCTGACAGTAAATCATTTGGGAAGGAGGGAGAGTCACTTGGGGGCAATAGTTCACACTACACTCAGGCAACAACACACTGAACTGTGGCCCCATTTCATCTGCATTCTGCCTGGGCTCCTGAGCAGAAGCCAAGGGCATCCTCTCCAGCTGTGGACTCTGAAGGACGTGCTGAATGCCTGATGAGTCCTGGTTCCAAGAGGTGTGCACTCCACTGCTTTCAGGCGATGGGGACATATCTGAGATGCACTTCGACTTCTCAATATCCTTGGAGAGAGAGGGAGAGAGTCAGATGAGGTGAATCCTAGCTCCCATTCCAGTTCCACATGTCCCTCCCAGCTCCTGACCACACCCAGACCCAGGCCCCCATCATCTCTAGTCAGGATTATCCTACCTCCAGGCCATTCTCCAGTCTAGGTTTTTCTTTTATTTTTTATAATCCTCTCCTATGTTATGTTATTTGTTTTGTTTTTTATTGACTTCAGAGAGAGAGGAAGGGAGAGAGAGAGAGACAGACAGAACATCGATGTGAGAAAGAGACATTGATGGGTTGCCGGAACCGAGGATCAAATCCTCAACCATTTGGTGCACAGGAGGACACGCTAACTAACAGACACCTGGCCAGGGCTCCAGCTTGGGCTTTTCTAAGATTCAGGTCTGGCTGATAGGATGGTGGAAGCTTAGGTGTGACTTATGCCACTTCTCCTCCTTGGTATGCTTTTGTTTATTATTATTGTAAGAAATAACAAAGACAGCAAATAAAATATTCCACAAACTACACCTGCAACAGAACTCTGAGAAAACCCTCAAGCTCCAGATTACATGTAAGTGTGAGGATGAAAGAACATACCAAACCAGCAGGATGGGTGCAGAAAGCCACAAAGGTAAGAATAGAGGCTTCAGCCCTAGCCAGTTTGACTCAGTGGATAGAGATTCAGCCTGTGGACTGAAGGGTCCTGGGTTCAATTCCAGGCAAAGGCACATGCAGGCTCAATTCCTAGTAGGGGGCATGCAGGAGGCAGCCGGTCAATGATTCTTTCTCATCATTGATGTTTCTAGCTCTCTCTCCCTCTTCTTTCCTCTCTGAAATCAATAAAAATATATTTTAAACATAGCCTATCTAATGAAATAGTAATATGCAAATTAACCATCACTCCATCACAAAGATGGCAGTGGCCACGGAGCTGGAGCGAGCAGGAGGCTTGGGTTGCCCTGGTGATGGAGGAAGCCAAGCTTCCCACCTGCCCTGGCTAGACCTGAGCTCTGCTCAAGGCTACAAAGTTTCAATTATAGAAGATAAATAAATCCCAGATACCTGCTTCCAGCCCACGGGTGTGGCCAGCCTGAAAACGGCTTTCAGCCCCTCAGCCAGGCTGGCCACACCCCCATGAGGAGAGGGTCACAGCTGGGGTCTGGGCCAGCCTGCAAACAACCATCAGCCCCTCACCCAGGCTGGCCAGGCACCCCAAAGGGACCCCTACCCTGATCCAGGACACCCTCCAGGGAAAACCAGCCGGCCCCCACCCATGCACCAGGCCTCTATCCTATATAGTGGTCAGTGAGCTTCCTCACAGGAACCTCTGCTCAGCCACAAGCCAGGCTGATGGCTGCCAGCAAGCGGTGGTGGTGGGAGCCTCTCCCGCCTCCTCAGCAGTGCTAAGAATGTCCGACTGCAGCTTAGGCCTGCTTTCCGCTGGCAAGTGGACATCCTCTGAGGACTCCTGGGCTGCCAGAGGGATATCTGACTGCCAGCTTAGGCCTGATTCCCCGGGGAGCAGGCCTAAGCCAGTAGGTGGACATCCCCTGAGGGGTTCCAGACTGCAAGAGGGCACAGGCCAGGCTGAGGCCCCCCGAGTGCACAAATTTTTGTGCACCAGGCCTCTAGTACAGTGGTTCTCAACCTTCCTTATGCCACAACCCTTTAATACAGTTACTCATGTTGTGGTGACCTCCAATTTCATTGTTACAAATTGAATATAATTAAAACATAGTGATTAATCACAAAAACAATATGTAATTATATATGTGTTTTCCGATGGTCTTAGGCAACCCCTGTGAAAGGGTTGTTCGACCCACAAAGGGGTCACGACCCACAGGTTGAGAACCACTGCTCTCGTATATAATAAAAAATAAATTAAGCCACACATATAATGCAATCCCCCACACAAAGAAAAAAGTAGATCAAATATTTTAAGAATATAGATGCAAAAGTCCTCAACAATAAAACTAGCAAACCAAATCCATTAGAAGATTATACAACATGACCAAGTGGAATTGATCCCAGAAATGCAAGGTTGATTCAACATATGAAAAATCAATCAATGTAATGTACTACATATGTAAAATAAAGGGGGCAGGGGGGGAGATTATCTCAATTAATACCAAAAAAAAGCATTTGAAATAATTCAACCCTTTTCATGATTAAAAGACACTCAAAAACTAGAAATGGAAATTTCCAACACAATAAAAGGCATTCATGAAAAACCCACTGCTAACATCATACTCAAGTGAAAGACTAACAGTCTTTCTTCTAAGGTCAGGATGCCCACTTTCTTCCTTTTTTAAAAAATATATTTTTATTGATTTCAGAGATGAAGGAAGAGGGAGAGAGAGATAGAAACATCAATGATGCCCTAACCGGTTTGGCTCAGTGGATAGAGCGTCGGCCTGTGGACTGAAGGGTCCCAGGTTTGGTTCCAGTCAAGGGCATGTACCATGGTTGCGGGCACATTCCTGGTGGGGAGTGTGCAGGAGGCAGCTGATTGATGTTTCTCTCTCATCGGTGTTTCTAACTCTCTATCTCTCTATCCCTCTCCCTTCCTCTCTGTAAAAAATCAATAAAATATATTTTTTTTTAAAAAAGAAACATCAATGATGACAGAGAATCATTGATTGTCTGCCCCCTGCATGCTCCCCACTGGGGATCAAGCCCGCAACCTGGGCATGTGCCCCTGACCAGACGCAAACCTGGGAACCTTTAGTCCACAGGTCAATGCTCTACCCACTGAGCAAACCGGCTAGGCCAGGATGCCCACTTTCACCACTTCTAGTCAACACTGTATTGGCAGTTCTAGCCAGAGCAATTAAACAAGAAAAGAAATAAAAGGCATTCAAACGGAAAAAAGTAAAACTATCTATGTTCTCAGATAACACAATCTTATATGTAGAAAACCAGAAAAAACTACATACACACTAACATAACCTGTTAGAAATAATAAACAAATTCAACAAAGTAGCAGGATACAAATTCAACACACAAAAATCAGTTGCTGCTATACCCTGTCAATGAACAATCTGAAAAGGAAATGAAGAAAACAATTCAATTTATGATAGCATCAAAAAGAATTAAATACTTATAATTAACCAAAGAGGTTAGCATAATCCCTGAAAACTATAAAACATTGCTTAAAGAAATTAAATAAAATTTAAATAAATGAAAACACCTGTCCATGGAGGACTTAAAAGTTATGATGTCAATGTTACGCAAAGCAATCTATAGACTCAATACAATGACTATCAAAATCCATTTTTGGCAAAAATAGAAAAATCCACCCTAAAATTCATGTGAAATCACAAGGGACCCCAAAATAGCCACACACACGCACAAAAAAAACACACAAACAAACAAACAAAAAAACACCTTGAAAAAGAACAAAAATTGGAAAATTTATACTTCCTGATTCAAAACTTACTACAAAGTAAATAATCAAAGCCGTATGGTATTGGCAAATAGGGTAGGCCTATAGACCAACAGAAAGAAACAGAGTCCCAAAATTAAGCTTCATATTTATGGTCAAATGATTTTTAGCAAGGTTTTCAAGACTATTCAATGGGGGAAAAGACAGTCTTTTTGATAAATAATGCTGGAATAACTGGATATCCACGTGGAAAAGAATAAAGTTGGAACCTTACTTAACACCATATATAATTCAAAATGGATCAAGACCTAAACACAAGAGCTAATGCTATAAAACTATCAGAAGAAAACAGGAGGGGGAGCTTCATAATACAGGATTTTGCAATGACTTCTCGAATAGGACACCAAAGGCATAAGCAACAAAAGATAAAATACAAACAACCCAATTCAAAAATGGACAAAGGACTTGACTAGACATTTCTCCAAAAACATACAAATGGCCAGTAAACACATGAAAAGATGTTCAACATCAGTAATCATTAGGAAAATGCAAATCAAAACCACAAAGAGATACTGCTTCACAACCATTTAAAATGATTATCAAAAAAAAAACACAAAAGTGTGAGCAAGATGTGAAGAAACTGGAATCCTTGTGCATTGCTATTGAAAATGTAAAAATATGCAAGCACTATGGAAAACAGTATGCTGGTTCCTCAACAAAATTAAAAAACAGAATTATCATGTGCTCCAGTAATTCTCT